CGAGCTGTACTCGGCCTACGACGGGCACGAGCTGCGGCCCGTCGTCGCGCAGCTCGGCGCGCACGTGCACAACATGCACACGCTGCTCCGCTGGCTGCTCGCACACGTCGCGGCGCGCGATGACGTGCACGTGTGCGTGTCCGCGATCCTGCGGCTGAACTCGTTCATGCACATCACGTCCGGTGCCGGGCCGGTCGCCCTCATCGATCGCGTGCCGGGGCTGCTCAAGCAGCACCCGGACGGCCCGCTTGAGCTCCGGTACATCACGGAGATGTTCCACAGCTGGGCGTTCCGCCCGATCAGCGCCAGCGACGCGCAGGAGATGGTCCACACCGGAACGCGGATCCTCGAGACGCTGCCCGACGATGTCCTTGCGGCCAAGTTCTACCGCGCTGCCGGGACATACTACATGCACAACCACGACATCCCCCAGGCCACCGAATACACACACCGTGCCCTGGCCTCCTCGCAGCGCATCCCACATAGCCGTGAGCAGGAGTGCCGCACCTTAAACCAGCTCGCGCTGGTCAGCTCCCTCAGCGGCGCATACCCCGCCGCGGCCGCCTTCGCCGCCGACGCACGTGCGCTCTCCCGCGCGGCCGGGAGCGTCCTGCAGGAGGCCGTCGGCTGCCGGAACCACGCGTTCGCGCTCGCCGCGCAGGGCAACTACCCGGCGAGCACGGCGATCACCGCCGCGGGCCAGGCCATCCTCGCGCGCTGCGGCCTCACCGACTCCCCGCTCTTCCGCGTGCTTATGAACAACGCCGCGGACTGCCGCCTCGCGCGCACCGAGCATGCCGCCGCGCTTGCGCTGCACCGGGACATCCTCGCGCGCATCGGCGAGCCGGCGCGGGAGCCGGTTGGGTACGCCCTCTCGCTGCTGAACGTCGCGCAGATCCAGGCGGCCGCGGGGGATGCCGGGGGTGTTGTCGAAGCGGGCAATGCGCTCGCCGAGGCACGCGGACTGTTCGGCGCCGTCGGCTTCCCGATCGGCCCCACGCTGTGCGACACCGTGGACGCCGCGCTGCTCCTGCGCGCTGGAGAGCACGCCGCGGCGCACAAGCTGTTCCGGGCATGTACACGGCAGGCATGGGGTGCCTATGCTGAAGCAGTGGTGTACTGTCTTGAGCACACGGCCAATGGGGAGTGCTGGCCAGGTGCATATGCTGAGCATGCAGCAGCAGACGCAGTTGTGCTTCTGGCACTATCATTGAAGACACACGAGCGCCTGCCGCTGCACAAGGCACTGCGCTTCCTCGGGGCCGCATACGCTGCAGCAGGGGACACCGAGACGGCATGGAGCCTGCTGGCTGTTGCACTAGACGGCTTCGTGAGCATGGGTGTGCACCAGCACCGCGCAGAGTGTCTGGTCCAGATGGGGGACATCTTGTCTGCACAGGGACAAAGGGAGGAGGCACTGCGCAGGTGGAGAGAAGCAGTGCCGCTGTTTGAAAATGCGGCATTGGGTGCCAGAGCACAGGAGATTGGGGCAAGGATTGCAGGGAAATAAGGCAGATAACTGAAAGAGAATGTAAGATATAGGAATTTCAACTTCAAACCAGATGTCTTTGTAAAGCTATATAGATAATATTTGTGTTTGGCATATACTTTAGTATTTCAGTCAATTCAAATGTCATTTATGCTGCAACATTTGATGATTATTCTTAATTAGGCAACTTTTACCTATTACCATTTTAGGACAATATTTGCTCTAAATTTGTGTGATTTATGGGCAAAATTGTATTATATCATGTATTGACAAGTACACTGCTGGTTCAAGTCAATACGACATCCACCCCCAGCTTCTCTTAGACATGGTCAGTGTCACAGTTTTGGTTGGGCTGTCAGGCCGTCTGTCTCTTGGGCCCCGGTCAGGCTCGAGGACTCACCGGCTCTCTCTATTCACCATTCTTCCAAACTCTTCCTTCAACTCTTACCAAATCCTATGTGATGGTGATGCCCATCCAATCTGCCCTGGGACCTAATGCCCATCTGATCCTATCCTTAATACTCACTTGTATAAAAGCCATACATACAGACTGTATTCACTAGGCTAATATCATCTATTCCCCAGGCTAAACACCCTCTCCTTCATAGTCCTCAGACCATCCACAGTCATATGACCCAAAAACTTAGGCAACCCTGAGGCTGACAGGAAAGCGCCAATGTGATACTTAGATAGCTTATACCAAATCAAGGTCGTAGCAGAGGAGGATCCAACGAGTGAATATTGGTAAGCAAATATAAACAAAGCTGACCTAGCAGCCTCAGGCTGAGTATTTTACTTAGGGCTCCCAACCGTACCTGTAAATTTACGGGTATACGGCACCTTAAGTATGGTATGGGACCTGTACCATAGTTGGGCCCAGCACTCGGTCCGACGGTACGGGCCCGGGGACGCCGGCGTGACCAATACGGGCATCAGACACCTGAAATCAGGGATTTGGGCAAATTAGGGCTCGTACATTGTTGATTCATATCTTTTGAAGGTAAGAAAGCCAATTCTGGCAATTTTCGACACTTCAGCTGACCACTGATCTTTGATTTCGCTCAAAAGAACCCCGTTTTCAGCTGTTTATGGTACGGTTTATGGTCATACGGAACCATATGGTAACCATCTGTCAAGCCATGATGTACTGTACGGGCTTCACCGTTCCGTCAACAAAGACGGCAGTATTTCCGATATACGGAATGGTTGGGAGCCCTAATTTTACTCGATTTAAATATTGCAAAATGGTCTCACATTGAATATGAATACATATATCATTTCCTGATTAGGAAGTGCTTGATGACATAAGCAGCCGGAAATATGAAAAAATGCATTTCTAAGCAAAGTAGTGTGACAAGCAAGAAATTGTTTTTTTAAACAGTTGCTGCTAGTGTCAGATATAACATTTAACTAACACACTAGTGTAGCTCAGTACTGTAGTAATTTATTCAATTAGGCACCCCAAAATGGTGTGACATCGGCGCCAAAATTAAATTTTTGGTGCTGCCTGTCGATGTGTGTGACAGCTGAAATTTTTCGGCCTATTGGAGGGCTGCCAAAATTTTTTTGATGCTTTGATAGGCATTTGACATTCGGCATCTGGCTGTGGGCCCGTGACACGCCAAGATATTTCAGCGCCCGGAGGGCCGGTGTGACATGTGACTGCCGAATTGAATAAATCGCTACAGTAGTACCTAACTGTCTTAGATTTTACATACTTTCTACAAGTAAAGGTGGTTTAATAATCATAGATTTCAATTATCTCCTTGATTGTCCATTTCTTGCTCATCCTGAATAGCACTGAGATGTAAGCGAAGCACTCGAGGTCTATTTTTTGCTAGGTAACTGCCATCCACCGCTTCCAGTGAGCTACCACCATCAGACCCACTCTCTGGCTTGACCAGTCGTATGCAGGGTGACTCCTTAGATAGAGACATTCTGTCTTGAAAGTTGATTTGACATAGGATAAGCTGATATGCCTGCTGTGCCATAGTGACTGTTTGAGATTCTATGTTCTCCCTAAAACTATAACACATCGATAATTACAGTAAAATAAGTAATAGAAACAAACATTGTTATTAAATTTTCTAAACGCTTGCAGAGTTCAGCAAGACAGTTAGGCTCCCATTTTTGTTGTTTTGCCATGAAGGCCACATAGCAGCATGCAAAGTTGCAGACATCTCTGTTTCCAGATGTGACATCAAGCACTATTGCAGCTTTGCGAAGAGTGTTAAGGCTATTCTTAGACCTAATTGTTCTTTGCAGTGCTTTTCTTGCTATTGCAAAGTCAAAGGTATGGTCACTAAAGCAGTCAAGTTCAATAAGAAGGAGAATATTTTTAATTTTTTATAACTTACCTAACTTGTGTAACCAGGCCTCCAGGTGCAATATTGTCACACAGGGTTTGAAAGGTCCAGGGAAGCAGGAGCAACTTGACAAGGCAGCATGCAATGTCTTCAATTGGTTGCAACCAATGTGTCGGCCTGAGCTCATAGGAGAGTTCAATTGTGTCGGCCACAATTGAAGCACTTTCTTTCTTGTTGCAAACCTGGGCAATCAGGTGGGGCTGCCATGATATACTATAAGCACTGAGCTGTTTATATGCCACAAGCTTGAGATTGCTTACCCCGATATTAGGGCTTGTACATATAGATGGAGGAATTTATCTGGCAAATTGACACCAATCTCGCACATTTTCCCCACAAGTTCTATGGCTGCAAGTTGTGTGTTTGAGTATAAGAGGAGGTTGGCATATACTGTCTGCCACTGAGGACTGGTCACTGTTGCCTCCAGGACTTTGAAGTCAACACTAGGGAAAACAAGTCGAGTGCCAAAATCTTCTAGAATTGCACATTTTGTTGAGGACCTCACATATGGAAAGCTGGAAAGATAAGTTAGCTGGAGACTCAGATAATCAATGCAGACCACACACCTGAGATAACCTAGATATACCCCTAGTGCATGATCACTGAGACTCTGATTCCGATTGACCTCCAGAAACTTCCGGGCCTTTGCATCATGCATGAGCCGCAGAAGGGGCTTGGTTGCAGCATGGAGGTTGATTGTTGCACCATGTGGATTACGATCTGACCACCAGCTATGGAGGCTGACTGGAGACTCAAACTCAGAGCAGGTCGGTGAAGGGGACAGGAGGGGCATGAGAGTTGGAAGAGAGCGCTGGGAGCCTCAAATGCAGAAGAAGACTTCACACCCGCCGCCGCGGCTACAGCCTTGCTTACTCTCAATGACTCCACAGCGACAGCAAGCTGTAAAATGAATGAATCCCATCTGACACGCTCCACTTTTCCTCATGACAACTGAGGCGCCTTTCTTCCACCCCTGACTTTGCTCGGACCCAATGGCACTCGCGACGTTCGCAGACCTCCCGACCGGGATCCTCGAGATCATCACTGCGCATGCCACCTATGATACGGCATGCCTCATATAGACAGATATATATAATCCAAAGCCTCAGCTTGGCCTCAGCCCGGAATCTGCAGATGATACAGAATTAACAGAGGAATACAGCGGGGGCCACCTGCTTTGCGATGGCCTCCTGCTCCGGCGTCAGCGGCCGGGCGACAAAACCCCACGCCGGCCCGGCCTCGCCGTCGGACGCAGAGGGGACCGGGGCAAGCTCGTAGACGCCGCTCGGCGAGCCCCACGCACGGAGCTCAACGCCGGCGAACCCCGCATCAGTCTCCGTCCGGAAGTCGGCGACGGCGGTGCTGATTGCATCACGCATCGTGCGACCGTGCATCAACCGTGGGTTGCCGCAGCGCGCGCGGCGGGTGCCTTCGGAGGAGGAATACCCGATCTGCAGCATTTTTAACGCGGGCAGCCGCGGGATAAGATTCAGGGCCATGGCTACCGCGTTGTGCTCGGCCGCAGCGTCGACGAGGTCCGCTTTGTTGACGGTAACGTTCAGATGTGTGAGGCGGGGGAGGTGTAGATCCCGAAATACGTCGATTGACTGCGGCCCAATGCTCCAGTGGCTCTCGTAGGAGGACCGAAACGCTAAACTGACGAGCGTTGGTGCGTGGCGTGGGAGGACAGCCGCGAAGAATGTGGCGGCGAGAGCGTTCGCGGCCGCCGCGCTATTGGCGTGCACGTACAGGTCGACGTCGGTCATGCCCGAGTGGCTCGCAAGGTAGCGGAGGAGGCCTGGAGTGACGCTGTCGGTGTGCAATGTCGTCAGTGGGATGTCTGCGGGAAGACTGGTCCAGACGCAGTCGTAGTCCCGGTGCATAAGGTGCAGCGAAACGAGGCCCGGACTCTGCGCGACGACCATAGCAGCCTGTTTCTCGATTGACGTCACCTCTTCTGAATAGAGAGTGGGATATGCGGTAACCGTCAGGGTCTTGAGATTCCGGATGGCCGCGATGTTGACAGCGAGAATCTCGGGCTTCATGATTTGCACGTCCAAATTCTCGAGCATGGGGAAGCTCATGAGCGCCCCCTGAACAGCGGTGTGCATCCAGACAAAGTCGCGGTCGCGGATGCACCAGCTAGCCGGTCTGTCAGCACACGTAAACCAGACACAGGCAGCATGACGCACTAAATGCTCCGCATCCCGCTCATTCTCTCGAGGACCTGTGCTAGCATCGCAGCTTTAGCCTTCACGACGTCTTCATCTTCTGGCGCCATGCCCTGCTTGGGGTCCCACCGCCGCAGCACCTGCAGCGTCTTCGCGTAACGCGGCCAGTTGGATCTTCCCGCCACAATGTCCGCCATGAGTTCCAGCGCCCCGCTTTTCGACAACAGATGTACATTGAGTGGGAACAGCCTAAGCACCAGCGGCTCCAACGCCGCGTTCAATGCGCGCGAGGTCAGGCGCGCAGTGCGCTGGCTAGAGGGGTCGAGCTGTGGGGTGTTAAGCATTTATACTCTTTCGTCCAGGCTCGGGGCTTACGTGGGAGCCGATTTCCGTCAGAATCTCCGCCGGGAATGCGAACATGGTGGTTGCGGAGAGAGTTGCCTGGATCTTCACACGCTGTCAACCACGCAATGCCTCGATCATTCTGTATGGATCTTTTTTTTGTCTTTTTTTCCTTTGCTTGCGATTGTACAAGTGCTGATACTCTTGGAGAGGCGCGCTTTAAATTTACCCCATGTGCCCCACTGAGGGATATTGTTCAATGATAATACTTATTTTAAATAAAAAGTCACTTCCGAATCCCGATATAAAACATAAACTTGCTTTCTGATACTAAAAATAGCATTCCTATGCCCTGATATTCCAGTGAATTGTCTCCGTACCAAGGCCCGGGCACGCATGAAGCACTGCCGCTTCTAGCGCTTCGAGCTGTGTGGTTCCGGCGCCCATCTGCTCCGCCGAAATCGCTCCCCACGCAAACGAGAGGGTGCGCAGGCCAGGGAACAGGCCTAGCCAGCGCGCGAACGCGTCGTCCCCGCCGCGGAGGTGCGCGGCCCGGAAGAGCGCACCGCCGTCCGTGTGCAGCGCGAGCTCCGTGAGGCGGCCCAGCTGTGCTTCGGGGCGGGCCGGGCCGGCGCCGACTTCGGGGTCGGCATCGGACTCGTCGGCGAGCGCGGCCCACGGCAGCGCGCCGGCCGCGGGCCGGAGGATGAGCGTGAGGGAAAGCGGGCGTGTGCCCGGAAGGGCAGCGATCCTTTCCAATGCCGCCCGATATGCTCTGCTGTCGAGAACAGGAGCGCGCAGCGCCTGCGCGTGTCTCCGCTGCGTAGTGAGCGTATCGGTGAGCCACAGTGTGGTCACGTCAGGTGCGAGCGGGAGCAGGTGTGGCACATACGCGAGAGGCACGCGGAGGTGGATGATTTTGCTGGCATAGGCTTTCTCGGTATGTGGGAGGGGAGGCAAGGAGGACGGGTCAATACTTTCGCGGTAGAACCTGGCCATGTCGAGCGCTGGATGGCGTTGGATGAGGCCGACGAGGTCAGAGTATTCCAGATTTGCCTCCGGAACAACAAGTAGTCGGCGGCAGTGCGTGCCCAGGTCGAGTGTCCGAACGACAGCCTTCAGCTGCGCCGCCTTGAGCTGTTTAGGCGGTCGAATGTCAAGTTGAGGGATATTAGTGTCCGCACTGAGTGTGATGAGCGTGATTCCCTCCAATATTTGCACTCGCATCCATAGCGTAAACGACACCGTGCCATAGTCGTGCTTGAAACGCTCCTCAAACGACCAGGGCCGGCCCGCCAGGACGCTGTACGCCCACAGTAGCAGAACCACGGCGTTTGTGACGGCCGACACAAGGTACGCGAATGCGAGCGGCAGCCCAAACACCAGCAGCAGTACCCGCACCGGCACCGGCATCCGGCCCCAGCGGAAGTTTTCCCCGAACGGCGGAGGCAAAAGGCGCCACTGGACGGGCCGCGTGTTCCGGGGCCGCGACACCGCCCACCGATTTGGGCCGACGACGACCAAGAGGTTGTCCGTGACGGCCGGCATCCGGCTCAGCACTGCGAGTGCGTCACGGCGCGTGCGCTGCGCCATTGCATACCGGTTATATACCACGATATCCGGAATCGGGGGCACGGCGCCAAGCACTGCTGCAAGAGTCGAACGCGTTGGGCCACCGTAACCCTCCCCGCCGGCCCCACTCTGAAAACACACGAGCCGCGTGATCGGCCGCACATGCCCCACCACAACGACGAGAAAGAATGAGCTGGAGATGGACAGCGTGCCCGCCTCTACGTCCGCGTGTGTGACGCCGAAACGCCCGAGGTACCCCATAAGTCCGACCCTCCGTAGCCGCGTGCAGGTTTGCACAAGCGCCCAGAGGTCGCGCCGCGCCGCGCAGTCACAGATGTGCTCGAGTAGCTCGTCGGGTAGGGCGTGGAGCGTCGTCATGATAGCTGTGTCGAAGTCGTCGATGGCAGAAGCTCACGTAATCGCATTTGACTCGACTTACGGTACGGGTGTGATGATGATGATGCGTCAGTGCAGCGTCACACCGTCTTTTTTTTTTTTTGCTCACCTAAGCTCTAGCTTTGCGTCGGACACTGGGTTCGCCCCCGCTGGTAGTCAAAGCGCACCTGTTTAGCCCACAAAACACTGTGAGTTATCAGTGGTAACCCGCTGGGGTGCCATTGACAAGGCTCAGTATTTTCAGAACATCCCCTGAGGTGAATAATTGCTGGGGAGAGGGGTGAATAAAGTTGAGCTCTAATGCAAAATTCGTACTAAGTCCAGCATGTAAGGGGTGAATAAAGGTGAATAATACCACGACCAAGTCCCCAGAAGTCCTGTTATGTAACATGTGTGACACATGGTCCCAAAAGGAAATTTTATTGATAGACATTGGAACTGATGTTCCTGTAGCTGCGCAATGCCTTTTCACAGTCGTATAGAGTGCCAAGTATATTAGATTTCCAAAAAAGAAAATTTTCATTTTAATAGTACAATCATCAGAGAATGTCACAAATCGTCACAAAATGGCAGTTCTCTATTTTGACTATACAAACAACTTTCATTAAGTGATGTATAGTAGCAGCTGATCTACAACTGATAAAATAATCTCTCAATAACTAGAGTAGCTACAGAGCTAATTGAAGTATTACTAAGGATACTTGAATGGGAGGGTCAATATCCCTATCAATACCATGTAATCAGCATACCCATACTACCTCATGATTATCTATCCGACATTTTGATCTGGCTATATCTCTAGCAGTTGTCTATGGGTTCACATTATTATTTCACTAGTAGGTAGGTAGTAATATTGTCTTAATATGATCTGATATGACCATAGTCCCATGCCTTTAGAATATACTAGTATACCACTTTTCCATAGTTTTTCTACCTTAAATTTGACCAGGCATAATGATGACCTGATATCTGGGTGATAAATGCATGGATAACCATGGGGTCAGTTTTGCTATGGTTAGATGGACATCCCCGCTATCCGTACAAGCCACCCATATTGTTAGGCATGCTATATACCTGTCTATATGGCTCATATCCTATTATTTCAATCTCCCAATAACTCACTCAGAGGTAAGGAATCTCCAATGAGATAAAGGTAGAAAGTAAAAGAAGGGTTGCCCTGAGAGATGTTATGCCTCCCATGATGTTTTATCCTTGAAATCTTTTGTTATTCTTCTCCATTCTACATATTACCCCTATGTCACAAGATATTAACAATACAGCCATGATCTGCTAGTTGATTGTGGATCAAAATAAGTCAAGCTCAGTCAATGAGGTATATACACCTACCCACCTACTCTGATTGATGATTGTACATATCTGGATGGTGAAATGAGGCAGACATTCAACTGCAGGTGAGATGCAAAACTAGTTTACATGAATAGTGGGGCCTATAGACTGAGTATTGGACATTTAGATGCATGTATTGGGGTATTGGGATATCTACTAGGACCCTGTACTGGAATTGGTTGTGGTTATGGCATGTGTCAGAAGGTAGCTAAAGAGAGGGTAGGTACCTATAGAGCAGAAGAGAGTGTCTTCGCTATTACAACTGGTCAGAAAATAATTTCAAGTATGATCCAAGCCTTGATTGTAGGATAGTATACACCTTCAAATGAACCTGTCCAGCACTTGAATCAACCTCATAGCTATGATGGATCTCTCACAGTAGCATTATCAGTGTTATCTATTCCAAAAATGTTTAGCTCACCATGGCATGGTTTGTGGAAGTCTGAGAGATTTGAGTATATTCAATGGTAGGGGTATGATCCACCTCCCATAAAGTGGTGCCCCTGCCCTTCTGGCATATCTCCATCCTGGGTTATGTGGCACCTAAGGTCCCAGAAATTGACTCACCCAGATACATGCTATAGCATCACTAATGGGTGGGATTATAATGGACTATCCTGTGATATCATATCATGAGATTTCATGCATAGGGTCCCAAGATATCAGCAAAATACTCCTCAACTTAGTGTTTACACATGCTTAGCACTAAATAGATCAAGGTAATAGGTTACAGATAATATGGAACAATAGGCTAGATAGGAGTAGGATGATATACCTTACAAATGAGCCTTTCTCTAGCTTTATCCACTGAGGCCAGCTGGATATTTAAGCCTATCTTCCAAAGTTGATGGAAATCAAATGCCACTGATGACAGAATACCTTGCATTTTCAGGGCTCAATTCAGTTGGGATTGGAAGTAGACATAGTCAAGCATTGACTTAGGGTATCTGAAGGTTCAAGTCAGCAGCCTTATCACTTTAAGCACCTACATATCCTCTTTCATGTAAATAAATGGTCAGTAGAGTGATTATATCATATGTTCCTTTTTGGGACGCGGTGTTACCTGTTACATAGTGTGACTTCAGAAGACTCAGTCTGGATGACCTATGTTGTATTATTCACCTTTATTCACCTGGACTTAGTACGAATTTTGCCTTAGAGCTCAACTTTATTCACCCCTCTCCCCAGCAATTATTAACCTCAGGGGATGTTCTGAAAATACTGAGCCTTGTCAATGGCACCCCAGCGGGTTACCACTGATAACTCACAGTGTTTTGTTGTGGGCTAAACAGGTGGCGCTGTATGTGACGCTAGATGAGGCTTTCTATGCTATTTTTTCGCTCAATGGGGCGCTGCTTGAGGGGCATCGCGCGCTGTGGAATGTAGACACACTTGTTGAGAGAGCGGACAAGTGGGTGAAACATACAACGACGGTGCGGGTGTGGCGGTCCACGGGTACGAGCAGCCTGCAGAAAAAAAAAGTGAGGACAGATAAGTGGTATGACGGGACGGAGGAGACGATGGCAGCAGTGATGCAGTTGCTGAATATGCTGCCACGGGTGGAGACTGTCCAGTGCACCGAGTTTTTGCCTCGTTTGACTTGCCATACAGCATGCTTACCTTACTTAAAGTTACTTTCAGATGGGAAATCAACGCGGCAGACCTCGCCTGGCTACATGACACATTGCAGTCGCACGTGAACTGCCATTGGCAGCACACACTGACGACACTCGACATCCACTTCCACAGCTTTCCGCTCAACC